GCTCCACAATACTTTTGAGCTAATATTCTATAAGAGGAACAGGAGCTCAAGCAGTAGAACAGTCGAGGTGCTGGTACTCAGTTCCAGTGAGCTCCTGCCCAAGTCAAGCACTGGAAACACCGCTAGGGCAGAGATGCCGTTCCACTGATTCTACAAACAGAAATGACAGAATCTCGGTCGAATGACGCTGTGCAATCGCCGCCTGATGTTAGCCTATCTGTAGCCTACAGATGCTGTGCTTGAGAATATACTAGCCTGGGCTATAGACTATTTAGAACCTATATAGCCAGCGGTTTAGAATTGTTTGGATATGACAGACCACAGACTTGAATTGGGAGAAATGGGTGCGATTGAGAAGAAATGAGTTAGATTATTCGTGTCCGGGCATGAAAATACAGTGGAGTGTGAAGCTGCTGTGTGTTTCCGGGCTGACACACCCCTCTTCTCTCTCTCTCTCTCTCTCTCTCTCTCTCTCTCTCTCTCTCTCTCTCTCTCTCTCTCTCTCTCTCTCTCTCTAACTCTCGCTCTCTCTCTCACACACACACTCTCACTCACACACAGGCACCCACAGCATGTTAAAGCATCTTGTTAGGTCATCCTTGACTCTCTGTAGGCTAAATTATAGGCTATAGATTGTTGAGAGTGAAATAAGCTACACTATCTTTGCCGTGAGAGGAGCTGGGGCTATATAGGCGCTACCATCTCATGTTAGGGGAGTGCAGCCGACAAGTGAACACTACAGTAGGCTGTCTTACATGCATGGAGATGTCCACTGAAATACTGTATGATCACAATCAAGAATCACTGATACCGTAGCCCATTAACAAGGATGCACCGAGGGATAGCCTACATGCTGATGAACACATAGCCTACACACACACACACACTCACTACAGCTAATCACTACACACGTCGACAGCCTATGCTGCACCTTAGTCCCTTGAGTAGGTTAGGTAGACAGATATGTGTATAGGTTTGGTAGCCTATTGGTGGCCTAGCGGACGATGGGCGGCAGTATGGCAGCATCTATGCACATAATCTCCCAAGCATCTCCACAGCGGAAATAGCCCCAGTATCTCCCTTACTTTAACATGGCCTCTTCCTTCTCCTCCTCCTCCTTCTGTCGAGCTAGCACGGCCATGATGATCTTCCTCTCCTCCTCCGTCAGATGGCTCAGGTCCGGCTCGGGCATGGACGCCGGCACGACGGGTGGGCGCGCGCCGCCCCGAGGGCCCACCGAGGCTGACATCTTCTCCCCCCTCTCTTCCGCGGCTCGGATCACTGACAGAAATCCCGCTGGCGGAGCCCACGGATCACGACATGGCCCATGGAGGAAGCAACGGCTCGGGCAAGTGATGCAAGGCTCCCATGGTGGCAGGCACCCACGGCGGTAGTGCTTCTTCGGTTCCTAGTCGCCTTTTCTCTCTCTCTTCCTCTCTCTCGCTCTATTCTCACCTCCCCCCCACCCCCCGCCCGCCCTCCTCTCCCCTCCACCTCCAGTTACAGGGAGCCCATATCTCCGGCAGAGAATGATAGGCTACTCGGTCACCCGGGGAAGCTAGCTTCGTTCAATGCAGAGAAATATTTATCTGACGCTGCCTAGGCTGGTGCGCTGGCTAGGTGGGCTCCTTGTTTTCCAACGCTGCTGCGCTCTGCTGCTGATGCTGCTGCTGTCAGGGAGATGTGGAACCGTCAATGGGACCGCAGCCCCTGAAGCGCGTGCACCTTCTCACGCAGGGAGCGCGCATTCTCATTTGAGAATGGGGGCTCGCCGTATGAGGCGCGTGCAAAATATTATCTTTCACTTCACCAATCGAAGCGTTCTAGTGACGCGCTCCCTTCCTCCATTCCTTCTTTCCTTCCATCAGCACCCGGCACAAACGCGTGTGTGTGTGTCAGTAGTGCTGGTGAATCTTGTTAGGACCACAGCTCAAAATACTCCCAACACAAACTTAGCGTTGTGGTGGTTGTTTTATAGGCCTACAATGAAAATGTGTATGAGCCCATTTCAGGACCATGGACAGTGTAGTGGGTTTCCGGCGACGAGACTAAATGAGACGGATAACCCAAGCTTCCCCGTCTTTTTTCATAAAACATTTCACTTTAAAGTAGTAGGCTAGTAGTAGTTGTAGTAGTGCGTTGCTAGGTAACGACGTAAAGGATGCCACTTTTTATGAATGTGGCGATGTGTATGTTGTCTTGTAGCCTATATTATGGGCAGGATAAACTAACAATGGGAATTCTAAACCACCCATTGTATAATTAAGCAATAATACATGAGAGGCCATGTGTTATGACATTTTTATCATGGCTATGATGTGGTCAAAGTCACGAAACGAAGCCGTTGGATAATACAACATATTCTCGTCTCATTCATTGAATTTCGCTCAAACAGAGTTGAAGCCTAGCTGTTGGCTGCCTGTTTGAGGTGCTCATATCAAACGTATTTCACTGCGCGACGCAATGTTTCACAGCTATGCTACAGTATTTCTAGTGCTACAGGGTTTGCACCTCAGTCTAATAACAGGCGGTGATTCTATACCAAAAAAGTCAAGGCGAATGGAGGTTTTATGTCATAGGCTATCTATCTTTCAAGAAAATCAGTTGCCTTTAACTGTTTTCAAAGAAACAGCCTTAATTCGTCCACAATATCAGTTTACCAGTAGATGGCAGCACGTAGCTAATCAATAATAGAAGCTATTCACTGGACAACTATTGACGTTCAGGCCTATAACACCATGGATTAAGGAACCTGTCACCCTACAAATGTGCAATATTTAGGGTAATTTGTGATGATTGAAAATTAAATATGTGGCTGTTTCTCATTTAGGCTAACACAATGCTTCCTTGCAACACATGGTAGCATTTTAAAAACAACATGATATACACATTGTTGTTCCAAGCAAAAGGCCTAATAATTAACAATAATAATAACAATTTCTGTTGGGGTTTATTATTGATAAATGGTTTTCTCTGACTTAGCCTTGAAAAACATGTAGACGTAACTTACAAATAACTTTTATTTTGATATGGTGAATACAGGGTTTTCTCTTGATGTCACTGCTATAGAGCCATATGTTAAATTACCGTTCTCATAGCAGCAGGAGACTGTACATGGGATAGCCTCCATATTGGCTTGTAGAGATAACTTTTCTACCTGTCTCAGCTAAAGTGGTGAAAAATACTCAGTAGGGTCTTGTCTTTACTAACCAAATATGCTACGTTTTGGAGGGGGACTGTGTGGAGGCGGTGGAGAATGAAGTGCTGCTGGATTTAACACAGTCCCCATCAAAAACGACCAGTGGTGACCCGTCATTCAGAGCCCCACCTGTTTTGAGCCCCACATTTTTAGCTAAAAATAAATAACAGGCTTGCCTGTTTTGCATGTTATTTTGGCATTAATACGTGTCACATATCAGTTTGCAAACAATGTAAAAGTACATAAATTCATTGAGTTAATAAAGCCACATACAAACATGGTCAAATTGTTGCTTTCTTGAGTAAGGCAGCTCCAAAATGCAGGTGTTTCAGCGTAAAAAAATACAGAGCTTAGGTGTTGGTAATGTTCTCTAGTTGCGCTGTGATTGGCTCAGTGTTCTGTCTAAGGGTAGAGCTCGAAAATTCAAACCCCTTGGGTGCTGCCATAGAGTTACATTAGAAATGCCCATCCAAGAAGGCTCAAGGTCATTGGCCACATATAAAATGACGTCAAATCACGATATATCTACAGTAGCTTTGATTGGACTGATCATGTCAACATCATACTTTCAAAATCTTAGCTAGCAGTCATCATCATGAATCAAGTCGACAATCTACTGGCAAATCCTTTTTAATCCTTGTCGTATGAAGATAAATAATGAAGAGAAATTATAGATAAAACGAATCAAATTCAAACAAATTCAACAATGAGTGGTTTGGAAGGAATCAGTGGCGAACTGCAAGGGTTGCAAAGCAATCATTAGCCTGCTATTCAGTGGTGTGGCTGTGTGGTCCCAAGTCTGGGATTAAGGGTCTCTTTTCCAACCTTAAAATTATAAATGAAGCATGATTTGTGTCGCCCTCAAAACAACTCAGAACTGCGAAATCTGACTTCAGTGAGTTCAAGACAACTGGGAACTCAGGGAAAAAAACTAGCTCCGACTGGGAAAATACGTTTTCAATGGTCATCCAACTCGGAATTGTAAATCGGGAACTCAGGCTTCTTTCTAGAGCTACGACCTGAAGATCACTGACGTCATCATGATTCAACCTTGTTTTTTTCAGAGTTCCCAGTTGTCTTGAAAGCACCATAAATCCAGAGAATGCCAGACTTTGATGACAACATTTGCCCACGAAGGATCGTCGCGCCACCTTCCTGTTCATTTCAAAAGTGCTGAGCAAATAGTTATATTGACTACGTCCGTCCTAGCTCGCTTAATAATGTCTTAATCGAAATTACGGATTGCCTTTTATCCGCTTGTCGTCCCCTTATGCCATAGTTTGTACATCTCAATTGTCAGTAGAAACCATTTGTCACCGTAATAGTGCAATTAATGTATTGTTTAGTGTTGTGTTGTGTAGTGGCTTTGCTGGCATGCTTCCCACAATGTTTTTTTTTGCCCCACCAAGATTTGCATGTTAAAATCGCCATTGAAAATGAAACATATTTGGTTAGTAGAGACCCTACTGAGTATTTTCCACCCCACTTTAGCTGAGACAGTTAGAAGAGTTCTCTCTACAGCCGAATACTCAAATCAAATCACATTTTATTCGTCACACGCTTCGTAAACAACAGAAGTGGACTAACAATATTTTCAACATACCAGTGTCAACATCGTATATTTTTATTATTGGTCTTTAAAAATATATATATACTTATTGCCTTTTTTGCCTGCACAATAATTTATAAAAATTAAATTAATTTTGAATTAGTTATCCACATTGCAATGTTTTGAAATTGGGCTTTTATTTTGAAGCTTTTCTCATTACCATACAGAGTGACGTAATTGTTTGTGCTTCTGGCATAATAATAGTACATACGTCATTAAACGCGCTGGTTTCGATAACTGAACCTCGACGGATTATCTGGTAAGAAAGAAATATAAACAGTAGAACAATTTCTCAGGAAACATGATCAGTGCATACTATCTCAGTGTGTATACAAATGTATATGTCAACATCGAATAGTGTTATTTTTCACACACATTCCGATGCGTGTCCATTGCTCCATTTATTTGCGCGACGCTGCATGAATGCATTTGGTCTTGTTGTAGCTTAAGTCCAACTTCATTCGTTTCGGACGCATTCAATTATTCCTTTGCACAAATTGTGCTGACAGCTGGTTTAAATTATATCGAGTAGGCTACGCTATAATATCACACGTAAGAACCGTTTCAATGCTAATGGCTGGACCTGTGGATACTATCTGTAAGTGTACACGGGCCAGGAGTTTTTCCTGACCAAACAAAACAACTGGCAGTCTGGCAGTATGGGGAGTGTTAATGTACACCAGTGGCCACCGCTTGGTTGTAATGAGCTACAGTGCTGGCTTTTGTTCCTGCCCAGCTCTAACTCAACATAATGGTTTGAATCAGGTGTTTTGGTGCTGACTGTAGTTCAACTACCCAGGATGTCCTTATTATTATTAGACACTGGTCAAATCAGGACACCTCCATTTCAAGATAACTTAAATATCAATGTGGGCATCCCCATGAGCACATGTGTAACACAAACAGTGAGTATAACCTCTTTAAATTGCTGTAACTGTCTCACCACTTCTCTCTCCCTGGCCTCTCTGGCAGACATGTTGCCTGTGTTGGTGGTCCATGGGGGAGCGGGGCACATCCCTGAAGAGCGTGCACAGATGTCTTGTGCTGGGGTCCGGGCTGCAGTCAGGGGGGGCTACTCCAAACTCCAGGGGCAGGGCAGCGCCATGGACGCTGTGGTGGAGGCAGTCACTCTGCTGGAGAATGACCCCCACTACAACGCAGGTAAACACACACCCATGACTAGGGCCTGGAGTCTTTCCTAGCCAGGTCACATGACCAGAAAAAACCATCTGGCCTCTGAGATCAGCAATAAGGGTCTGATAAGGTAAATAGGTCCACCTATTCATCTACTTATATTTACTTGGTACATGGTTCTATGGTAATAATTACACAATATTAACAAATGGAATTACCAAATAAGTATTCATTTACCTTTTACTTTTTGGGGGGTAAATACCAGTAGACTACCACAAAATAAAGTGCTACCAGATTTGACTGTCAATGACACTAACCTGGATAAACAAAGGTTGATAAAGTATAGATGAAGACGTTTCTCTGAGTCCTCTTGTATCTCTGCATGCATCAGGACGAGGCTCGGTGTTGAACGCTAAGGGCGAGGTGGAGATGGATGCCATCGTGATGGACGGGAGATATCTGGCCAGCGGAGCTGTCTCTGCGGTCAGGAAAGTGGCCAACCCTGTCCAACTGGCCAGACTGGTCATGGACAAGGTACTGTTCACGCACACACAGATTTGCTTAGACAAAGTGTTGATCATACAGCAGTTCAGGGTATTTTAGGTATTTTATTAGGATCCCCATTAGCTGTTGCAAAAGCAGCAGCTAATCTTCCTGGGGTCTACACAAAACATGAAACATGACATAATACAGAACATTAATAGACAAGAACAGCTCAAGGACAGAACTACATCAATTACATTTTTTTTTTAAAGACACACGTAGCCTACATATCAATACATACACACAAACTATCTAGGTCAAATAGGGGAGAGGCGTTGTGCCATGAGATGTTGCTTTATCTGTTTTTTGAAACCGGGTTTGCTGTTCATTTGAGCAATATGAGATGGAATGGAGTTCTGTGCATTAATGGCTCAATATAATACTGTACACTTTCTTGAATTTGTTCTGGATTTTGGGACTGTCAAAAGACCCCTGGTGGCATGTCTGGTGGGGTACGTGTGTGTGTGTAGTTGGTGAAACAGAAGTAAGAACTACATAGGAACATATACATCATTATATTTTGCATTGTAAGGGAGGTCGAAGCAGTGCCGTAAAGCGATACATTTTAGCGCGAACGCTTCCGCCACGGCGCACTTTCCCACAGCGCTCTCTCACGCGTAAGCAAGTGAGGTACAGTATATTCTATACATCTTGAACATTGTTCCCCATTGAATGAGCCCCTGTTACCCATTGCAGACGAGCCATCTGTGTCTGACTGGGGAGGGTGCCAGTCAGTTTGCCAGGGCAATGGGTGTACCCGAGGTGCCAGAGGAGTCCCTGATCACAGAGTATGCCCGTATGCGCTGGAAGAAGAACCTGGCAGCTGATGCCAACCCGGTGGAGTGCCAGATGTAAGATAAAGCATGACATGATGTTTCATACCATGGAGTTGAATACATTAGATAGATAATGAAATGGATTGTAACATGACATGATATATGATAGAACACAGCATGGTATGATAATATTGCATGATAGATGTTAATTACATTTTTAATTGAAGTGTGTGTGTGTCACAGGGGAAAGATGGGCACGGTAGGGGCGGTGGCGGTGGATGCGGAGGGGAACATAGCCTGTGCCACCTCCACCGGTGGCATGCTGAACAAGATGGAGGGCAGAGTGGGGGATACAGCATGTATTGGTGAGACATCTGATGTTATGTCATATGAGGTAAACGGATAAAGAGATGTGGAGAGGAAGTAGGAGAGAGAAAGAGAGGAGTGGAGGAAGAAATGAGAAAGAGACCTGCAGCTTTAACAGTGATCCAAAAGCTGAGTGGCTTTGGTGAACCCTGACCCCTGAGACGTGGAGGAATGTGTGGTGGTGTGGAGCCACTCACTCAATACCTGCTGGGTTAATGTTTCACTATGGAGATTATTACAGCCAGCAGTATGAACAACACACACTACTACCTCACACTCCTAGACTGCTTCATAAAGGCACAGAGGCACATACACAACATACTGTACACACACAAACACCCACACTCTCAAATGTGCATACATTTACACACATACACAGAACAGGGGTTAAACAATCTATTACTTTACATGCATGTAATTGAAGAAGTGGTAAGTGGAGTCTCATGATGAGAAATGTTCTAATGTTAATCAGCGATGCTGGTAAATCAATACACTCAGGTCAACAATCAATGATCAACTATGCATTTCACCCAAATATCCCCATTCACTGACATGCCTTTAGAAGTGAATCGCTGTCAAGAGTTTCATAGATCACTAGTTTACAAATGTAAGGGCTAGCTGGAAATGTTCTGAGCCCTCACCTGCTATATACTGATTTCTGACTGTAGAGTTGGTAACCCACCACAGGTTGTCCGGTAAGAACCAGGCAGATATTATAAACAGGGTTTGTCACCACCAACCAACGCATTCCATACACAACTTTGTGTGAGTTGAGTGAAGTGTGGTTTCTGTAAAGAGAAAGGGCACTATTAAAAGGGTAAATAGGCCAGTAAATGTACAGATATGCATATAGAGCTCGTCAGCTTGTAGTCCTAAAAAAGGAAATTAGTTAGCATTTTCTACCTCTGGTTCGTTGGCCATTCCTATGGGGGAAATAATGAGGTTTTGGGATAAAGACCAAAAATAAGGTCTGAGGTTAACACAGTTTTAGGAGATCTTATACGTTTTGTTCTATGCGATAATATAAGTCAGTTAACATGACCTTTATAAAAATGTTATTTAGTACGTATGGTCTATATACAAAGGTAGGACGCATGCATGAACTTCAACAAACACTGTAGTATAAATAAGTTGGCACAACAAAGAAACAATACTCACAGTTGAATTGAGGAACACATTAAACACTAACTTGACTAGGCCATCTCCTACTCCTGTAGGCCCTTCCCACTGGGTACATCATGACATTTCAATGTGGAAATGTGGGCAATATTTGGTTGAGATGATGATCAATGAGATTTCAACCTTTATTCACCCACTCAAAAAGACAGCCAGAAGTTTGAATTCCCAATGTGTTATTACAATGCTTTCAACCATTTAAAAGTGTAACCAAATTCGAATGGAAAAACAATGTCAGATTTTTGGTTTAGGTGTCATCTAAATGTTTGTTATCACTGCACTTTCAACCATTTTAAAAGCACAACAAAGTTCAAATGGGAATGCACAACTTAATGTGTTATCACTGTGCTTCATATAATAGCACAACCAAATGACCTGGATTGCAGTTGAGATTACATTAACAGTTGTAAAAAAACATCAAAAAAAAATATGAACTGCATACAAAGAATACCCCAACCCATTCCCCCCTCAGTTCCCATCCAGGCACCTGCGAGCAGTAATCTTTTCTGATTGATTGAGCGATTCAAAGGGCTATCATCGTTAAGTAACATAATAGATGCAAAGCATTGAATATACAGTATAAAATCATGCTCTTTGGAAATAATTTTGTAACTCTGCCCCAGGATCATGTAACTGCAGGGCACTCCTGATTTAGTGAACGGTTGGGAGTTTGGGCCAATTTCATCGTAAAACGTTTCCTTGGTGTTAAATACAGTCTGAACAAACTTAAAATGTTTAAATTGATGGTTCGGATTACGGGATCCCAAGGCCATATTTTTCCATATTCTATTCCAGTTAAAGGGTTGTTCAGATTCAATTAGATTTGTGGACCATACTTTTTTAATGGCTAGCTCAGAATATGGTGCTTTCCAAAAGTTGTTTATATACACTAAATGACCAAAATTATGTGGACACCTGCTCGTCGAACATCTCATTCCAAAATCATGGGCATTAATATGGAGTTGGTCCCCTCTTTGCTGCTATAACATCCTCCACTCTTCTGGGAAGGCTTTCCACTAGAACATTGCTGCGGGGACTTGCTTCCATTCAGAAACAAGAGCATTAGTGAGGTCGGGTGCTGATGTTGGCTCGCAGTTGGCGTTCCAATTCATCCCAAAGGTGTTCGATGGGGTTGAGGTCAGGGCTCTGTGTGCAGGCCAGTCAAGTTCTTCCACACCGATCTTGACAAACCATTTCTGTATGGACCTCGCTTTGTGCACTGCGGCATTGTCATGATGAACCAGGAAAGGGCCTTCCCCAAACTGTTGCCACAAAGTTGGAAGCACAGAATCGTCTAGAATGTCATTGTATGCTGTAGCGTTAAGATTTCCCTTCACTGGAACTAAGAGGCCTAGCCCGAACCATGAAAAACAGCCCCAGACCATTATTCCTCCTCCACCAAACTTTACAGTTGGCACTATGCATTGGGGCAGGTAGCGTTCTCCTGGCATCCGCCAAACCCAGATTAATCGGTCGGACTGCCAGATGGTGAAGCGTGATTCATCACTCCAGAGAACGCGTTTCCACTGCTCCAGAGTTCAATGGCGGCGAGCTTTACACCACCAGCCGACGCTTGGCATTGCTCATGGTGATCTTAGGCTTGTGTGCGGCTGCTCAGCCATGGAAACCTATTTCATGAAGCTCCCGACGAACAGTTATTGTGCTGACATTGCTTCCAGAGGCAGTTTGGAACTTGGTAGTGAGTGTTGCAACCAAGGACAGACGATTTTTATGCGCTTCAGCACTCAGCGGGCCCGTTCTGTGAGGTTGTGTGGCCTACCACTTCGCGGATGAGCCGTTGCTGCGCCTAGACGTCACTGAGCTCTTCAGTAAGGCCATTCTACTGCCAGTATTTGTCTATGGAGATTGCATGGCTGTGTGCTCGATTTTATACACCTGTCAGCAACGGGTGTGGCTGAAATAGCCGAATTCACTAATTTGAAGGGGTGTCCACATACTTTTGTGTAATATAGTGTATTATAGAGATCAGTCCTTTCGGGAGCCCAGATAATAGAGGTCTTCACGGATCCACCTGTACCCGAATACCGATACGGGACCGAGAGGTCCGGATCCAGAATTCTAAATAATGTCACCGGTCTGGGTCAGATCTGATATGATTTTCACGGGTCTCGGGTATGTGTAATTTTAACTGGCTAGTTCGGACGAGCCCTTACAGACCCGAACGAGACTGCGCAGTAGAGCGAGATAGAGAGACATTTTATCATTTATGCTGCTGCTCTTGCTTTGAACAAGCATAGCAAGTGTAGGTTGTTGTTGGCCAATCATAAATCATTAAAGCGGCAATTGGCTACTGTCATAGAGCCTCCGTGTGTGGCAAAAGTTAGGAGATATCTAATCAATGGAAGATGGAATTAAAATGACAGAAATTAAAGGAAAAGGATAAGCTACATCGATCAATAGCCAACAGATAGGCTGCTACTTAATATTTCTGAATGGAGTTATTTGTAACTGTAGGATGACAAAGCGCATGCACTGCGACCTCAATTAGCCTAGTTAGCTAACGTTAGCTAGCTTAACTAGCGTCTCCCGGTTTGATGCAGTCAAATAATGTACTACGTAATCATATTTGATGATACATTAAATAACCCAGCTATGGCAGCTATTAGTCTACTATAGCGCGAGTCGGCTTGGTTGCTGTCTCTCGTCTCCCCCTACCTACTCCTCCTCACTGCTCTCTGTGTCACTCGCTCACAGTACGGTCCCTCCACCTGCTAGAGCGGCACCTCTCTCCCTCCTCTCGTGCTTTGTCAGCCCCGGTTAATAAAGTAGTTTAAAATATTACTTTTCTGCTGTTTCTCTCACTCGGACCGGGTCTGGATCTGACCAGGTCTATACGGAACGGGTCTAGTTGTCTTCAGGTCCGTTCGGAACGGGTCTCTATATTTAAAACATGTATTTATGCATATCGGGGGCCGGGTGGGAAAGCCCCAGGTCCATTTTGGAACGGGTCCAACTTTTTGGGCCTGTGAAGACCTTTACCTCCAACGTCTTGTTAATTTTTTCCGGGACGTTTACCTTGCCATACATATTTTGAAACCCACTATGAATTTTATCCCAATAGACAGAAGGGGGTGCCATGGGAAGCATTGAACTACAGAAATTCAGCCATTGCAATATATTCATTTTGACGTTGACAATAGATATTCTTCCGGTTAAAGCAACTGGGATATTATTCCATCTTCTGAGGTCGGAATGAATTGATTTGAGCGTTCTGTTAAAGTTTCTGGTAATGGTTTTATCTAAGGAAGGAAATATATCTACTCCCAAATATTTAAAATAGGAAATGATTGGGATTCCATAAGTAGAGATCAGTGGAGGCTCCTCAGAAGAGGAAGGGGAGGACTATCCACCTCAGTGAATTTCATAAAAATTAAAATAGTAAAACATTAAAAAAGTTATAATTTTTAGATAAAACTATTCTAAATATAATCACGTCACTAAATAATTGATTAATACACTGTTTTGCAAATAAGGTCTACAGTAGCCTCAACAGCACTCTGTAGGGTAGCACCATGGTGTAGCCGGAGGACAGCTAGCTTCCGTCCTCCTCTGGGTACATTGACTTCAATACAAAACCTAGGAGGCTCATAGTTCTCACACCATTCCATAGACTTGCACAGTAATTATGACAACTTCTGGAGGATGTCCTCCAGCCTATCAGAGCTCTTGCAGCATGAACTGACATGTTGTCCATCCAATCAAAGGATCAGAGAATGAATCTAGTACTGAAAGCAGAAGCTACAGCTAGCTAGCACTGCAGTGTATAAAATGTGGTGAGTAGACTCAAAGAGAGACAAAGACAATAGTTGAACAGTTTTGAACAAATTAATTTCTTCCAAAATAGAAGGAGAAGCAAGAGAGAAATAGAGAGAGAGATGTCCTCTTTTATTTTTTCACTTTGTTTCACTTACTTAGCTAGCAAATGCAGCTAGCTAGTTTAGCTTACTTAAACATCCTGCTCAAACAGAGGGATGCTATGTTAGCTAGCTGGCTATGACTTTCCAACACAACACTGGAACTCTTCTATGTCAATGTAAGCTTTTGGTATTACTAATTTATTGCCACCGGGGCCCGCCGTGTAACTGCTTACTGACTGTACACTAACGTTACTGCATGATTGTAGCGGGTTTACTAACGCGTTAGTTCTATAAGCTATGCTGACTATGACGTTACTTTAGCTAATATAGTGACAACGATGTCGGCTGTGTGTAGCAGTTTGGCTTGGAAAGGTTTTTTCGCCTGGTCACATACAGCCGATGTGTTGTGTATTGATGAAGTCCACAAGCGAAGGGAAGAGGTGAGCGGAGGAGAGAGCATAGATGCAAGAAGGAATACAATGTGGCTGCAACTGATGGACTAATGATTACACCCTATATCAGCTAGATGCAGGCAAGAGTGTGCAAGGCGGTATTGAAGGTCACCTCAAATTTGTCTCTCGACCTACGTTGTAAACTTTTATTCATAGGCTAGGTTGTAGCAACCTCATGATGGGTATATGGAAAATTTGAGTATCATGTTGTAGCCTAAACCTATCGCTGTTACATTGAACTGGGTGAATGGAATATGAATGAGAGTTATCCAATATGCTGTATTTGTATTTATTATGGATCCCCATTAGCTTATCTTCCTGGGGTCCAGCTAAATTAAGGCAGTTATACATTTTAGAAACATTACAATACATTCATAACAGATTTCACAACATGTTAAGTGCGTGCCCTCAGGCCTTCTACTCTACTACCACATATCTATAACCCAAAATCCATGTGTACATGTGTATAGTGCATATGTTATCGTGTGTTCGTATGCATGTGTCTATGTTTGTGTTGCTTCACAGTCCCCGCTGTTCCATAAGGTGCATTTTTCTGTTTTTATTTAATTTAATTTTACTGCTGGCATGAGTTACTTGATGTGGAATAGAGTTCCATGTAGTCATGGCTCTATGTAGTACTGTGCGCCTCCCATAGTCTGTTCTTGACATGGCGACTGTGAAGAGACCTCTAGTGGCATGTCTTGTGGGGTATGCGTCAGTGTCCGAGCTGTGTGCCAGTAGTTCAAACAGACATGCATTCAACATGTCAATACCTCTCACAAATACAAGTAGTGAAGAAGTCAATCTCTCCTCCGCTTTGAGCCAGGATAGATTGACATTCATATTATTAATGTTAGCGCTCTGTGTACATCCAAGGGCCAGCCGTGCTGCCCTGTTCTGAGCCAATTGCAATTTTCCTATGTCCCTCTTTGTGGCACCTGACCACACGACTGAACAGTAGTCCAGGTGCGACAAAACTAGGGCCTGTAGGACCTTCCTTTTTGATAGTGCTGTTAAGAATGCAGAGCAGCGCTTTATTATAGACAGACTTTTCCCCATCCTAGCTACTGTTGTATCAATATGTTTTGACCATGACAGTTTACAATCCAGGGTTACTCCAAGCAATTTAGTCTCCTCAACTTGCTCAATTTCCACATTATTCATTACTATATTTAGTTGAGGTTTAGGGTTTAGTAAAGTGATTTGTCCCAAATACAATGCTTTTAGTTTTTAAAATATTTAGGACTAACTTATTCCCTGTAATAGAAATAAGGCCATGCTCATGAAAAAAAAAACGGCACTGACCGGCACTGGTAGAGATCGAGTCTTCGATCGGGTCTTGAGAGGCAGTAGTGCTGATTTGGTTAGATAAATTCAGCTTCATTTCAAGCTATAAAATTAATCTATGGTCATCAATGCGTTTGTGAGCGATTGAGATGCATTGTCTAGATATAGTAAAATATCATCCACGTATAATGAGATGAAGTGATCAGTAGATTTGATGGAAATTGGTGTTATTTCCTTTGATTGACGAATTGCCTCAGCCAGGGGTTCCATGGATAATAAGAATAGTAAAGGCAAGATTGGATCGCCTTGTCTGCTGCTTCTAGTGATTCTGAAAGGAGCAGAGCAGATATTGCCTGGTATAACTATGGCTGAGGGATTGGCATATAGTATTTTAATAATATTCATGAAATTGGCGCCAATCCCCATATGTTCCAAGACAGACCAGAGATATGCAGCTTGTTCTGCATCGAGAGATAATGCAGCCCAAGGACCTGTTGTTTCTGATGAAGCATCTAAGATATGTAATAGTCGACGGAGGTTATCAGAGGATAAGCACTTTTTAACAAACCCACTTTGGTTCGTGTGGACCAATTTTGTTAAGTAAGTCTCGAGACGGGACGACAATGTTGTGGAAATACACCACTAAGGACTCAAATCATAGTAAATTAAGCAATCTTTATTATCACGGCCGGAGAGGTTCACAAACTCAATACAAGCCTGATTAAACTCCAAAGGGGAGGTTCTCTTTCAGTCCTTTTATACTGCTACACAAACAAGTCATATAATCATGGTTGGTTCCCGCATGTAACTGACTGATACCACACCAGGCTTCTTACCTTGAAACTGAGATATTGTATCACTCCTTTTAGTTCCTTTTAGTACCTTTTTTCTAATAAAAGCTAAATTAGTGCTGTATTCACATCTCTCCTAAATGAACCTTTGTAAATTGCAGCTGTATTAATCATTTTGAGCAATAGTGGACCTAATTGATTCCAACATTTTAAAGAATCTTAATCCTATTCATTAACTTTTATTTGTCGACAAGTTAATATGCTATTTACTGTATTGCAAAAGTGTAATTGATTTGTGTTTGGTTGTCAACGCAACCAAATAACATATGAAGGAGATGTATATTTTGTGCTACTGACTTAGTCTGGCTTTAATTCCAGTTTGTCTACAAATTAATAATTGATATGTTGGATTCACGTCTCCATCTCAACCAAAAACCAAAGTTAAAGAACAGGACTAAATCTAATCTAATCAAACTTTAAATGCCCTTTAAATAAAGTTTGATTTGATTTAGTCCTATTCTTTAACTTAGATTTTTGGTTGAGATGTTGATGTGAATCCAACATATTCATGATTAACTTGAAGATTAAATTTGAAATCAACCAAAGATTGAAACCCTAGGCCTATGTATTGTCTATTTTTAGCTGAACCCTGGGTTGACTTGAAACAATAGCTGTTGATGACTTTGCAAATGCTATATATGCCTAAATAGCATCATTGATGATGTATGACTTATAAAAAATGTATGGTTGCATTTCATTTGCTGTTAAACCTCTACCCTTTGGAATGACTTCGATAGCAACAGTGAATATACAGTATTTAGTTATTAAGAGATCTCTCAATAATCAGTCTCACTGATGGCACATTGGTAGTAGTCAGTTACAAATATAAAAGCTAAGCAGGGCTTGGTTAAAACCCTGGATGGGAGACCAAATGAATAGCTGTATATCAACTCTCCAGTAGGAGGTGCTGCCCAGCCTATTGTTTTTTAATTTTTTCTAATGGTGGATATAACGTTGAAGATCTGACGTTGTTTCAAAGGTACAAATTAAACATTTTATACAACGTTTGTCTATGTTGAAAATTGGTATCATAATTCTGTGGTTGAAACTTCACCCTCAAAACAACAGTTTGTTGATTACTTTTTTCAAATCCAATGTATTTTCCATGTAGATTCCTTGTCACAATACGTTGGCAAATTACGTTGAAACAATGTTGATTCAACCAGTTTGTGCCCAGTTAGTTTTTTCCCCTCTTTTTTGGAAACTCACCTGACACCCAAGGGGAGAGCACCAGGGAGGTGATTGTCCAGAATTCAGGAGCAGATATTGGCTGTGCAGGGCATTTTTTACACTATTTGTTTGCGCCTTTTATTTTTGGTACCTGTAAAGAGCATTCTGTACATGTATTCTATTGTTTACCTCACCATCTAGTGGCTTGATGCGGAAACCGCACCCTCAGACAACCAGGTGTGTTACAATTATTCTAGCCTTGATAGACTGCCTGTTGAAATAATATAAGCAAGGTTTCCACCCCACTTCAACCAATCCATCAGTTGTCAAATTGGTAATTAATTACGGAAGACTGATTTTTCAAGTATTCCAACAGACTTTAAGACCACATGAAAGTCAATACATGTTGGAGACCTTTCTCTCTTATAGTGTGTGAAGAGCAGGCTGTGTGTGTCTTTCAGGGTGTGGAGGTTATGCTGATAACAAGGTGGGAGCAGTGTCACCCACGGGCCATGGTGAAGCCATCATGAAGGTGACTCTGGCTAGACTCATCCTGTTCCACATGGAGCAAGGTAACACACACACGATTTATAAAGACAGATTGATTGATAAACTGATTATAAACATTCAATCCTCAGTAACTCCATCCATTTATTCCCTCATCCATGCATGAATCCATCCATCCTCCCTCCCTGGTGTGTGTGTCCCCTGCAGGGCGCAGTGCAGAGGCAGCAGCAGATGAGGCCCTGGCCTATATGAAGGAGAGGGTGGGGGGTCTGGGGGGAGTGGTTGTGGTGGACCCCCAGGGTGGATGGTCCGTTCGTTTCAGCAGCCTGCAGATGGCCTGGGCTGCAGCCCAGCAACAAACACTCCACTATGGCCTGTACACTGGAGAACACTTCACACAGAACATAGACAACCCCTACTAACATACACTCCACTTCCACTAATGTGTTGAGAGAGACTAGAAGATCCCTACTAACACACTCAGGTAAACAATCTATAGAAAGCACTGAATTGAAATTTACCATAACTGTGTTTTTAGCAATCAGTACTATTTCAATATTTTCTAATCCTCAGATCAATGCTCATATCTAGAGCCAGTATTTGGAAAGTGTTGATCAACTACCAAATGTAAATATTAAGGAATAAAGCGTGTTTTAAAAACAAACATAGGCTATTTATCCTTTCTGAGGGGTTTTCAATGCCTCATTTGAAGTCCTATAAAGCCATGATTGTTCATGGCATGCATAAATACTAGCAGAGAGTTACGGACAAAGTTGACACATGGAGTGTGTGTCCCTTACATGCACTGTGGCCTGCTGGCAAAGGTCATGTGCCACTCGGTTTACTCCACTAGATGGTGCAGAATATCAAGATTGTCTAAAGGTTATTTTACATTAATTTGCTTTGGTTGGTTTCTGTCGGATCTCCTTATCTCGGTAGTCTCTAAAATGTAGGGGTGTAGTCGGTTCACAAATTCAGGCTGAACCATTCTGTTTCATCTCAATAGTCTGAAGTGTTGTCCTCTGCCAGTCTTCTGTCCTTCCCCTGCCTGGTTTGAAAATGGACCAAAAATCCAGTCTGCTCTAATCAGTACTGGTGATGTAAAGGAGACGGAGTGATGATGCCATGTGTCATCCCCTAAAATGGGGTGGATTTAATTGAGACAGGACAGGTGTGGTATAAAGGGGTCTGAATGTGCTTTGGGTGTCAACACTGCCACTCACTCTGCCAATACCTCCATCGTACATTACTGCTATGAGTGCAAACACAGAACCTCTCCTCTGACAGTCAAGACTGCTCTCCTACCCAAACACCAGCTTGTTTGTTTCCTAAACATCACTTTGGAAATAGGGGGAGAGATGCATGGGCATCTTACAGTTCTGTGTGTGTGTGTGTGTGTGTGAGAGAGAGAGAGAGAGAGAGAGAGACCTACTTGACCAAGGGCATCAGAGACGAAAAATACTAATTTGCTGTTCTCCTATTCATTTCTACAATCTGACCCAAAATTACTGACAGTTTTTTTTATTAAGCTATTATTCTAAATTCTTCAGTAGTAAACCACTGAGGGCTCAGGGCATTGGTCATCACAGATTTCATAGGACAGGTGCAAAATATAGAGGAACACATTGCAGAGGGGTGTGTGAGTTTAAGTGAAATTGTGAACTCCCCATTAATTTCAATGTAGCCTACCATAAAAGGTAACGGATGGACATGCTAGTCTGGAGTTTTGGAACACCTGCGGACAATTGGAGGTCATGGGATGGATGGCAAAGGAAGGACGCGCGCAAGGTAACGGAGATGAGCAGGCTATTATTTCCCCGTTGATGCGCACAGTCCGGCCAGCCATTGGTCAGCTCTGCCAGAAAATGGGAGGTACTCGGTTCCAGAAATCTTCGTAGAAAAACGCCAGACTGACAGACGGCAAAAAGAGTGACAGCTCGAAAAAGACGGCGGACAAAGGACGCTTTTACCCGGCAAATGTCCCCTCAGACAATTTTAACATTTTGCAGTTCTCTGCATCCATACTTTACAGCCTGATTGGTGTGTTTTTCTAGATACTTTGCTGGGGTTATAGTGAACTTTATCCGAAGACAACTGAACTGCCTCGACTGGGAACTTTGTGTCCGGGAGGATTGGAATTGTCCGGGACGGACGGTGGGAAAAATCCAGCGAGGAGACTGATTTTATCGCAGCATGATACTGGCGGTTGTCTGTTCTTACAAACACCACCGTAAACGATCTATCACGAAATATCGGGCTGCCAGTACCGCGTAAGCGGAGAGTTTATTGGTCCCGAACCAGCATAACTTGCCGTTTTCACGCAGGTAACTTTTCACCTTTTCGTGGATGAGGTGAAGCGGTAAGTAGTCTACAGTGTGTCCAAAGTAATCGAGGATAGCTGTTGGAAGATGCGCAACTTCGCCTATTCCTCCTCTCTTTAGGGAGAATAAATATAATCGGCTGTTCCCCTGGGATGTAATTGCGTTCCCAGGCAAGTTTAATGGCTCTGTAAGACTCAAGAGAATTGCAAGCCATTCATGGCTTGCAGACAAGACTATCATTGTATCTTTATAAACAAATGAAATCAAGTACAATTACATTTATTTAAAAAATATAGTTTTTTTTGAAAACCAAAAATTGCTCCATTATTCAGGGGTTAATAAGGTGCTAGTTATAGCCGACTTGAAAAAATAAATAAGGGACTGCAAGACTGCAAACATTAAGCAGTCATATTCCCAAGTTATAGATAGGGCTCTGGTACTATCTATTTTAGTTCTACCTCCAAATGTGTCTATATAACACCCTTCTTAAAACACTAGACATGGCCTGTATTTTGACATGACATGATTTTTCACCACTAAAGAGCCATAGTTGTACTGTAAGGGTTAGTGGGTTTTGTTTAATGGGGTTGTAAAGGGAAGCTCTTTCTTTGTGTGAGAGCCTGTTTGTGTTGATCTAAACTCTCCTGTCTGAGGAGGGGTCTCTGGCTCAGCTCAGCTCACAGGACCGTTCCCATGGAGATGATAGGAGCACTTCCTGTCTCAGAACAGGCCAGGTCATGGAGTTTATGCTGGTCCGGGAGTGTGAGTTAGACATTCTTCTTTCACTGTGGAGACACACACACACACACACACACACACAGACGCACACTCCCAGAAATGTATTCAAGAGCACATACAAGCACATAGCCTACACATCAACTCTCTCTCATTTAATCACTCACTCACTCACTCACTACACACACATGCAAACACTCTTCACCCATTAAAGGCCCAGTGCAGTCAAAAACATGATTTTCCTGTGTTTCATATATATTTCCACACTAATGTTGGAATAATACTGTGACATTTTAGAAAATTATGATAATGCCCTTTTAGTGTATGAGCTGTTTGAAAAGACCGCCTGAAATGTCAGCCTGTTTTGGTGGAGTTTTGGCCTGCCGGGTGACATCACCAGGCGGTATATTAGTTAATATACCAATAAAAAAGAGAGATCCAAACCTCTCTGCCAATAATGGCTAGTTTTCAGTTTCCCCCCTCCCCACTCAGACCACTCCCAGACAGTCCTAGCTAAATTCTTGCTTGAGAAATTGCTAATTGCTAAGAAACTATTTTTGTTTCTTTTTGACCATATTAATAGAAAGCAATTACAGTAAGGTACTTAATTCTTACCCAGAAAGGATTTGATATTGAGATAAAAATGGCTGCATTGGACTTTTTAGTTTAGACCCACCACCATGACTGACTGTTAGTGTTCTCTGTCAAGCTTAGCATTATTTGGGAAAGTGTTCTGCTCTACTTGTATTGGGGTCACGGGCGGCAGGACATTAACACCCTGGTTAACCTTTGGGAGTTAGCGGTGTTAATCAGTGTTCCGGTGTCATGGCTCACCAGTCCTGTTAGTGTTCCCAATCGTGCTCGGAATACCGGCGTTCCGATTAAGTCCCGGCGGAGTCCTGTCCCAAGATCATCTGACTGCCACCCTGGGGCCTCTCCAAGTTTCTCTGAAAAAGCGAGTGAGAGAAAAATTGAATGGCAGAGGGGGTAGGGTTAAGGGGGCGGGGTCTGTGCTGTCAGATAGGGTATGGAAACACATGTGACTGAAGTGAAGGACTGGGAAGGTCATAAACCTACGTAGGCAAGGAGTGTGGAGGTCATAAGACTTCATAAGCTAGTAGTGTGGATGAGGTCATCATACACTCTTAGTAAAAAAGGTGCTATCTAGAACCTAAAAGCGTTCTTTGGCTGTCCCCATAGGAGAACCCTTTGAAGAACCCTTTTGATTCCAGTTAGATCCCTTTTTGAATTCCATGTAGAACCCTTTACACAGAGGGTTCTACAAGGAACCCAAAAGAGTTCTACCTGGAACCAAAAAGTATTCTCCTATGGGGACAGCCGAAGAACCCTTTTGGAACCCTTTTTTTCTAAGAGTGTAGGGGAGGAATGTTGAGGTTACAGCAGAGCGGCTATGAGCATGGCTGAGGGTTGTTTGTGTTAAAGCAGAAGATAGTGGCCGGAATAATAATCTGCCAAGCTAGGTGGTATGAAGGTCATAAGCCTGCATAGCCAAGGAGTATGGAGGTCATAAGCCTGCATAGCCAAGGAGTATGGAGGTCATAAGCCTGCATAGCCGAATAGCATGTTGTTTATAATCACGCCTAGAGTCATGGAGTTCTGTAGACTGTCCTGTTGTAGGAAGCCTGTCAGCTGGAGCCAGTGATAGGGGGAGTCTGTGTTGGCCCCCTTTCTCTTGTGAGGTCTGCTATGCAGCACTGATTTGTGTGTGTGTGTGTGTGTGTGTGTGTGTGTGTGTGTGTGTGTGTGTGTGTGTGTGTGATTGTGTTACAGGTGTTTGAGTGTCTGCCAACAGGCAGGCAGGAGAAATGTGGCTCAGGCGTGATTTTAGGTGGAATGCTTTGATGATTGAGACCCTTGATCCAAGCAAGAATTAGGGTTCTCCGTCCAGTGTGTGTGTTCTATTCCGAGGGTGACCCAGAGCTCACAGAACCCCAGACATGGAACACTATAAACTCACCACCTTTCCTTACCAGCTTGTTTGCAGTAAAGTTCTCAGACATACACTGCCGTTCAGTCTGATACTGTTGAAGCTAATGTTAACCCTTTCACTGTATCCCACTACCTCGGCACCTCCTATATCACACTACTCTGTCTTCTGTGGGTGGAGTCATAACCTTGCCGTGACTTTGACACCTTCCACAGAGAGGGGGAACGCGCGGTTAAGGGGCGGGACCTTAGATTCGGTATGTTAACATTTACAAGTCACACTGCCCTCAGTTCGTGACACACATTTACACAATGGATTTGATTTATGATGCCAACGGCCCTCATAAGGGACACATGGAATTACAACACACACATAACACAGTACATACAGGATATTTTAGCAGGAGAGGTTTTGGACCTATGAGTTCAGCGGGAATGGTCAGTCTTGAAGAGTGAGGAAGGCTACTGTATGGAAATAAAACTGGAAGGTAGTGTGTACACCCCCCCCCCTCGCTCTCTCCCTCCCTCCCCCCATCTCCTTCTCCCCTCTATGTGCTCACCGGTTGCCAAGTGCTAAGAATCCAGGGAATGTGGGATTGCAGTATTCTGATAAAGTTTGCTTTGTTCCCTCCATGACCTAAGCACTGGGATGGAGGCTGGGAGTC